TGATGAGGGCAATGAATGTACAAATGTGCTTTACAACAATTGATGTACGTATGGATTGTGATAAGAGTTGTATGAGTCCCTAATAAAACGATAAAAAAAAGACCATAGCAGAGGAAGCCCATTTACTGGTTTTTCAGCTTAGGAGGTCAACGCAGGGCCTTGTGGCTGCCAAACAGAATGTACATCTTAATAGCCCTGATGAAAGAAAACTACCAGCAGAGCAGTCAAGAGAGTATGACGGACAGAGCAGAGCAGTGGGGCTAATACCTTCACCTCACATAAAAGAAAACTTAAGATACGGACTAATGTAGAAGGAACTTGAAAGAAAAGGACAGCTTTATGGTTGAGATAGAAAAAAATTAAAAACTGTGAAACTACCACCTAATGGGAAAACACAGGGAAAGGAGCGGTGGCTGTGTGCACCTTCTATGAGGACAACCAGCAGAAGAGAGGGAAACAAAGGCTGGGGAAAGGGAGGGATGAAAGGGCAGGGAGACAGCCACTTCCCCTCCCAGACTCCTCTGGGCCACTTGACTTCCTGGCATCTCCATGTGTCCATTGGGATAAAAAAAAATATAAACACAACAACCTTCATTTTGGCTTCATGAAATAAAACGGGCATTAGCAAATTAGCCCAGAGGGCGAAGTGATTTCTCAACACTCAGTGGTGATGAATGAGAAGAACAGAGGTTAGAACCCAAACCTCAAAAATATCAACACAGTGCTTGATCTCTAGGGAAAAAAATTGGGGGAATTTTGGGTAAAGTCACGTACTATTTCTATCCACATCATGCATCTCCACTTTATTACTGGATAGATATTTGCTCCTCTCTTAAAGATTAGTATGTTTTTAAATTACTTGTAGAAATACAAAGAACAAATTAAGATTTTAGTGGTACCTGATACTCTTAGGGGGAAATGGGACTAGGGCTCTAAGTATAAAGAATTTACAAAGGATGCTACATTGGCACACTAATATACCACAAACAGTTTAAGCAGACAATTAAGCCAGAGGTGGTGGGGGTGGGGGGCAGGAAGTTCTTTAAAAGAAACATCTAAAAAGGGAAATATGTTACAAGGAAGCTGGATAGGTGAGGAAGTGGATATTGAATTTAAAGATCAAATAACATTGGTGACATACCACATTTCTCTCCCTATGTAATTGCTACTATAATATTTAAAAATTATTATTGAACATATTCTCTGATTTAGCTTCTAAGTTAATAGAAAGTAAATCATTTTTCTTCAATGGTACAATTCCAAAAGTTGTGCTATATAATCAAAGGTGGACTACTAAATGTTTAACAAATGATTCTCTAGGCAAAAAAACAAAGCAAAACAAAGCCTTGGTCTATAACGTGATGACTTCCATGCTCTCACTGTTCCTACTGTGGGTACCACTGTGATGCCAATGGATGTGCTGCTGGAAAGAGGCGTGCTCAATCAGCTTTCAAGATCTATAATCCTCAATATGATCCTATGGTCATGTATTTTTGTAGAATGCATCTCTAATTGTAAACTATATTGAGAGAACGAGTCTATTAATAGAAGTTTAGAGTTTTTTCCCCTTCCTTTTATGATCAGTCTTCCAGATATCTAATTCCTACAGTGAGACGTAACTATAAGCATTAAAAATATCCAATCACTTTAAAATGTCATTAGAGAAAACATGTCTTTGACCACTACTACAATTTGAAGTAAGTAAGTACAGTGCAAGGACAGAATTCTTTTCTATGGCACTATGAAAACCACTCTCAATTCACCTCTACTGCCCTCATACCTGTGTGAAGGGAACACAGAATTCTATTGGTTCCCAGAACCAATGCAACTTTCACTGGGGAATCTGATCAGTGATTTTAGAGCACAACAATCTTTGATCTAGAAAGCAGTTTTTCAACAATGGTAGAAATGGCAGTGAAGCGAGTGGAACTTTTAAGCTTCTAGAGTTCAATCCTTGTCTTAATTACTTCCACTATAGTTAATACTTGACCCGTCTGAAAGAGTGGTTCTTGGGTTCCTAATATCCATTGCCTCTGACTTACCCCATTGTTCCTGAACATTACCCAAACCTCAAATCGGGCACACAGCTAAAACTAGACACACTCTTCATGTCTTTCGGTAGGACAACTGGTAGACATGCTAGTAAATAAATATACTTGTAAATTCTCTTAGAGGTAAGTGAGCCCTGACCTGGCCCCTCTCTTTATTTGGGACTAAAGTAAACTAGAAACACAGGAATCAGATTTTCAGTTTATAACATGTATAAATAAAACTGGCAGCCTATGAAATGCTCTTACTTTACTTAGAACAATAATCCATTTAATAATACTGCCAACATTCCTTGACTGAAAGAAAGCAATCTAGTCAAACCTTTAACATAATTTAAGCAATTCATAAATTTAATATACAAAGACAACTGGCTAAAATACATCACTGCAAGTCATTTAATCTTTCCTCTTGAGAATTGTGCTCTTAGGACATACTTTGAATAATAATATAATCTGATTATTTTCTCTTTTCTTAGCTGTAACATACTATATCCTATTTGGTCATGTCCTATAGTTATTGTTGAATCGATGTTCTTTGTAAAAAATCCATTATTAGATGACATAAAAGTCCAAAATAGCTCTAGGAGACTGACCTTCAATCATAAGCAATATCATAATAGGTCAGGCGAGTGCACTCATTAGAACAGCAGTCTGTCTCCGTTTCCCCTGATTATGTCCTGTGAAGAAGCAAGAGTTTCTCCCAGGAAAACCGCCTCCCAAGATAAGGGCTTTACCTCAAATATTTCTAGCATGATAACCTCTTCTCATCCTACCCTATTTATGCATAAAATTCCTCCCCATCATCTTACACCACCTATAAAGCAGCTATTTCAACATAAAAACAGAATGTACACGTGTGCGTGCACGTGTGTGGTTTATTTCTGAGCACTGCTGCTTTTGGCTGGAAACATGGAGTTTTATTCTGGGAAGTGGATTTCAAACAAATTAAACAATTATTTGGTGCGGACTCTCTAAGAAGCAATTCTACCATTTTCAATTCTGGGGCTGCAGTTAGGAACAGAGTATCATCTTCACGGAGCTGCCATAAGTTCTCTGGCACAGATCCACTGTTAACACTTCTTTAGAAAAATCTTCCACTTTGTATCGGCGCCTCCCCTCGGCTATTCTAATTACCCCTTTGGGGAAACTCCGGGTGCGGACCGAGTCAAGAGCGAGCGGAATGACTTTGTTTTCCCACTTCAAACAATAGTTTTACAGGCAACATCTCTAGATATGTTCTAGATGAAATAACTATTTCTATGTTTGGTTCATCTCATGGTGCGGTTAAAGAAATCAATAATGTTTCTATTTGTAGGAGTCCTATTAGTTCTGAGTACGGTGAATAACATATATTCATCCACTGCAATGTCTTTAGTCCTTGTATCCTGATCTCAAGAATTCAATGCATCAGCTTATTCACACACAAATCTTTGCTATATTTTTTGTTTTAAATGCATCATCAACAGATTGGTTAAGATGCAGATACTATGACGATGTAACCGGATAAAATAATGCTCTTCCTTCCTAAACATGCCCAATAATTTCTTGACCTTTTCTAACGAAAAATGCCACCGAATGTGCCTAGTAGAGTTTATTCTACTGAAGTCTACAACGGCAATCCCAGAATTTGGTTTTGGTTTACTTTTGGTAGAAAGAGGATTGGCGTTATTTTGGCTAAAAAGTAAAACAAAGCTCCTAAAATAATTGACGAGGCTATGATTTTTTACAAATTGAGTTCTAATAATGGAAAAATGTGCAAGCTAGGAAGTTGCTTCAAACAAGTAAAACTAATTTGCTTCAAACACGTAAAAAAAAGTTGCTTCAAACAAGTAAAAAAACAAGTAAAACAAGGAAAACTAACATTTAAAAATAATCCTTAATAAGCAACACTATAAAATAATCTTTTGAAATATGTTTATACTTACAGGTAAATGAGTGAACACTTGAAAGATGCTTCTCAAAAAATTAATGAGATCCATTAAATATCCACTAGCTCTTCCATTGGGCTCAGACATGGTCCAGTCATAATCGGCAAGTTGAACAAATTCATCAATCTTCTGATTAAGTTTGGTATATATTTCCCCTTCAGCTGCATGTCGGGCATCCTAACCAGGGACACAAGAATGGGGCAAAAAAGTAAGAAACAAGTACAGAAACAGTTCATATAATAAATGTTCTTAAATTCTAAATTTTCTCTTATATTTCTCTTTAACGTTTTAGCCATTCATTAAAAGTATAGGAAAACTTTCTTTTTGGGGTGTTGGTTGTTGTTGGTGTGTGTGTGTGTGTGTGTGTGTGTGTGTGTATAAGTGTGCTTCCTGGAAGTACTTTAGCCATCATATCTTTTCTCTAGTCTTTTCTAACTTTGTGGGACAGAATAAAACTGCATCAGAGGAATTTCTTGGCGGTAATTTTTCTGCAAGCAGATTATCAGGTCTCTCTCTTATAAATTATTGGGTGGGTTCAAATCACCAGGATTTTGGTTAACAGCCACACGTTTTTTCTGTTTATATGTTAAGATCACTTGTGCAGTATCAATCCCTGACTTATTCTCATACCTCTTAGAAGACCCTTAAGAGAAACATAAGGGGAAAAACAAAAACTATCTAGAATGTAGAAGACCCTCTTACTAATACTTTGGCTCAATAAGGGGAATTAAGTTGGTTAGGCATTAGGTTGGTAACCACAAGATCAGCAGTTCAAAACCACCAGCTGTTCCACCGGAGAAAGACAAGGCTTTCTACGCCCATAAAGAGTTAGTTTTAGAAACCCACAAGGGCAGCTCTATTCCGTCTTATAGGGGCACGACGAGTTGGAATGGCAGTGATAGCTGATCACAGAATGGAATAATTGCTGGTGTTCTGAGTTGAAACGGTACAAAGCATTGGTTCACTTCTTTGTGGAGGACAGAGACATGACAGAAGTAATACCAGCAAAAATGGCAGCATAAAGATCTCAAAACACTCTCTTCTCCAGAAGAGCAACAAGAAAGCTAGCACAATAAAGATATATATTCAAAATAAGCTTGTTCAGAACTCAGGAAATTAATCAAAAGGTGCAGTGATCCAGACAGCACTTAGTCACAACAACTTATTAAAAGAAGTTGAATCTCAGTAAAATAAATTAACTTTGTGACATTTTAATGTGCCCCATTTCCATCCCTGCCCACCTATGCCAGCTTTGGGAGACCCTCAAAAAAGCAACATCCAGCACCTGAGGTAAGAGTCAAAAACTTGGTCCCCAGGATCAGACAGGGGTTTTAAACGTAAAAGATGGCTGAGGCAGTGGATAAAAGTTGGTACACAGAGGCTGACCAACAAGCTTAGAAGGCAAAGCTGGGAGGATGAGCCATCTATAAAACTAAAGAACAAGTCCACTGTTGGAGAGTAGATTTCACCTCACTGGGGGCCTATGTGAGACCACGCGGCATTGCTCCATGGCGTTTTCCTGGCTGTAATCTTTAAAGAGTGGATAGCCAGGCCTTTTTTCTATAGCACCTGTGGGTGGGTTCGAAATACTAATCTTTAGGTTAGTAGCCGACAGCAAACTGCATCATCCAAGAAAGTTGAGAAGTCCACAGGGACTCTGAAAAGCTCAAAACGATTTCTGGGAATCAAAGAGGCCATGACTGTTCTTAGGGTTTTGTACTTGCTCAAGAAAGATCTGGATGGTCCTAAGCTTTTACCTCGGGCTGACTTTGAGTCTTTGAACAAGCAAAAACTGAAGGCTAAGGCAGAGTTGTCAACTGTCTGGCTGAGTGGTAAAAGCATGTCTCAACACCACACACACACACACACATACACACACACACACCACCTCGGCAAAGGCTGAGTGGATGTATTGATTCCAGATGTTGTAAGCAAATTTATATCGTCACTAGCTGACCATCAAGCTAACCAAGAATACAAACTCTACAGAATTAGTTCACAAATGCCTCAACACCGAGAGAAAAGTAAAGCCTGAGGAAGGGAAGATTCTGATTTCCAGGGGTACACATATTATTTAAAGTGTCCTGTTTTCAACACAACAATATTATAAAACATGCAAAGAAGACAGTATGACCGGTACACTGGGGGGTGGGGGGTGGGGAATCACCCCAAGGAAACTGAGAGGTTGGACATACAAGACTTAAATAAACTTTAAATGATGTTCAAACATGAAAGGTAACCATGTATAAATAGCTAAAGGAAAGGACAAGTCTGACATCTCATCAAATAGGGTATATAAAGAGAAATAAACTATTGATGTGAAAAGGATCAAATGGAAAATCTAGGCTTGAAAAGTACAATAACTAAAATAAAAAATCCACTGGAGGAGTTTTGAAACAGATATGTGCAAGCAGATGAAACAGAAGACTAGAGTTTTCAACACTATACGCCAGCTAGACTTTACAGACATTTCTAGAAAACTCAACTCAACAACAGCTGAGTACACACTTTTCTCAAGTGCGCATGTGCAGTCCTCCAGAAGACAGCACAAGTGAGGTCATTAAAATAAGCCTGACAAAGACAGAAATCAAAGGAAGTATGCTCCCTGACAACACTGCACTACTGTACTAAAAATCAGTAACTGAGAAAAATTGAGAAATTTGTAAATATATAGGTATTTAGTCCTAAATAACGAATGGATCAGGGGGAAAAAAATCACAAGGGAAATAAGAAAATACACTGAGAGAAGTGAAAACACAACATAGCAAAACATACAGGATGCAATGAGAGCAGTGCTCGGGGGAAAGTTAAAGCTGTACATGCCAATGTTAACAAAGAAGAAAGATCTGAAGAACCTAAACTTCTCCCTCAACAAACTACAGGAGGAATAAAGAAAGAAAGAAACGCTTCCCACCCACTGCACTCTACGGGAACAGCATGTGTGACACTGGGGGGACTGAAGACTAGGCACAGTGACTCGCAGCTAAAGCAAGAGATTCTTTGGGAGAGATCCCATAAACTCGGGTGGTGAGTGTACTAGACATTAAAATGAGAAAGACCTCTAGGTTTCTCTTTGGTTTGGGGGAATGCACAGGCCCTGAAATTCTTTGTTCCACTTTAAGGAGGGTGGAAAACTGGAAAGTCTGGTTAATGGCGCATGAGACTCTTATTTGATTGGAGGGGGTAAGTGACATGCAGTATATTTCTAGAAAAACAAATACTCATTTAGACTTTGACTTTGACTAAGAAGAGACTGAAGTATCATTGTCATTATTAGTTGTATATTAAATTTGTATACAATTTGGCCAAACATGAAATTTATATCACGTTGTTGAAAAACGAGTCGTAAGTTCCAATACTGAAGAAGGATTCTAGGAATAAAATAATAAATACCACAGGAGACTCTCAACCTTACTCTTGAAAGTAGAGAAGTTAAAGCAATGAGAAGTAATGATGACGTAAACTAGCACTGAGAAGAACAAGTTTAAGAAGAGCTCTAGAAGACAAAGGTGTTATAATGAAATACACAAAGACCTGGAGTTAGAATACTAAAAGGGAAGAACACGTCAGCATTTCTCAAGCTGAAAGAACCGAAGAAAACTCTCAAACTTCAAGTTGCAATACTGAAAATACTGAACAATGGAGGGAGCATCAGAAGAATATAAAAAGACAGGGAAAGGCAGCTGCCATGAAGGAAGTGTCCCTCATGACCAGGCAGGTGCACAAGGCCACCACCTTCACCAACGCCAAGGAGTTGAGCACCATGCTCAAGCTGAAGCACGTGGTCAATGGTGCCCTTAAGTGGCAACTGGACCAAGCAGTGGTTGTCTAAGGGCAGCGAGACGCTGGGGGAATCTGACTTCATCAGCCACATGACCAGTGGGGCTGGCCTTCTGGGCGGATCACACTTTGAGGCCCTCTGCATCAAGCCATTTTCCAGCCACTTGGCTCCCCGGCATGATGAAGCCACAGGTCACGGGAGACAGTGCCAATGAGCAGGCTGTGCAGTCAGGGCCTCCTGGGGCCCCAGACCACTTCTCCCCAATACAGAAATTTGGGTGGAAAAAAAAAAAAGACTGTACAATCACGGTGCCAAACAGAAGGAAGACCAGAAAGGAGTTGGTGCATGGGAATTAGGGTCTTAGTGAGGAATATTCAAAATACCACTGACTGCCAGAACAAACACCTCCGTCTCGGAGGAAGTATGACCAGAACGGCCCCTAGAAGCAGACGGGGAGGTTCCTCTCCTAGACACTGGGTACATTATCAGGAGGCCCAGGCCCTGGGAAGAACGTCGCGCTCGGTAAAGTGGAAGGCCAGTGAAAAAGAAGACCCGGAAGAGATGGGAATGGACATGGTGGCTGCAACAATGCGCTCACACAGGACAACTCTGAGCACCAGCTCTGGCATGGCTTCATTCAACTGCACATCGAGCTGCTACAAGACGTTAACTGAAAAATAGAGAGGGTTTTATTTTCACTATTTGACTCATCTTTTTATCTTGAACACATTACTTAACTTTTGTAAATCCTAGTTTTCTCACCATGTAAGAGAATCATTGTCCCTATCTTCTGGAGTAGCAGGGCACATTAATAAGGTTCTAGAATTCTAATGCTAATCCTAGAATTAAAAAACCAAAAGAGAAGAAACGTTCAACATATCTTTTTAAATCATAGCATTTTTCTTTTCTTTTAAAAAAAATCATTTTATTGGGAGGCTTGTTCAGCTCTTATCACAATCCATACATCCATCCATTGTGTCAAGCACATTTGTACATATATTGCCATCATCATTTTCAAAACATTTTCTTTCTACTTGAGCCTTTGGTATCAGCTCCTCATTTTTCTTTCCCTCCCTCCCCCACCCTCCCTCATGAACCCTTGATAATTTATAAATTTTTTTTTCATATCTTATACTGACCAATGTCTCCCTTCACCCACTTTTCTGTTGTCCACCCCACTGGGAGGGGTTATATGTAGATCATTGTGACCGGTTCCCCCCTTCTCCCCCCACCTTCCCCTACCCCTTCCCCTCCTGGTATTACTACTCTCATTATTAGTCCTGAGGGGTTTATCACTCAGCATATCTTAAACTGAAAGAATTCATGAAAAAATTCAAGTCTTGAGTTGCAATCTTGAAAGATTCTATGTACAAAACGATGATGATGCAAGAAGCAT